GAGATGTAGCAATTGCACATTTCTCTGAACCCCAAAGAGCCATTCTGTCTCCTACCTTTATTTCTTCCCAGTAGTTAGCTGGATGCTCCATGTGGGTATATGAGGTGTATACACATCTGTCTGTGTATACCGTATGAACACAATGTGATTTGAGTAAGGGTGTGTGGGCCTGAGATTCCTGTGCCTGTATCTGCCATCATTAGTGGGTGCTCGCATGCATGTACAAACCTAGCAGAGTCAGTAGGCGAGTGAGCACTGACTGGGGACCTGTGGGTGGGAGCCTGACTTGACCTTTGCATGTGCATGTGCTTGTGGATTTGCAGCGTAGGGGCTGATGTTCACGTGAGCGTGTCTGCCTGCATTTGCTCTTGGCGCGATCTCTGTGGGCATGAGTTAGATGTCTCTTTCCATGTGCATGGCACAGTACTAAGCAAGTGCATGTGTGACCTGGGAAAGTTTGTGTGCAAGTGTGCGCACAGGTCTACCAGAGACCTCGTCTGTCTTGTTCAGACTCTGTCACCAGTGTCTGAACAGTGTCAGCCTCACAATGGGTGCCCAATATACATTTATTGAATGACTGGGGAAGGAATGAAAGAATGTGCACCTGGGTGCTGTCTCAGGGTCCTTCAAGGCACATGATCTGCATGGAGATGAGAGAGACACATCCTCAGGGTACAGCCTGAGTGGAGGCAGGTACTCTGGCCAGGCCAGATCTTCCTGGTCCCTGATGGGGTCCCTTTAAGTAGGCAGGGGTCTCATCAATAGAGCAGGAGCCTCAGAGCCAGGGCAGAGGCTGGCTCAGTAACCTCACTGGCCAGCTGCCTAGGGAAGGGCTGTGAACCAAGTCCTGCCCACTGTTCCCTCCCTTCTCAGGGGCTAGGGAAACCCCAGGAGACTCTTTTTCCAGAAGATTCCTGAGACTGACTGGGTGTGGCTTGGAAAGGCCATGGACAAAGGATACTGATGCTTCCATAGCTAGCAGAATTCTCTCAAGGCAAATCTATTTTTCCATTGTTAGGTCTTTAACCCAGCAAAGTGAGAGTAGGGGTTTAACAGATGAACAAACTGAGGCCCAGAGAGGAAAACTGATTAATGCAAAGCCACACAGGAGGCTGCCTGGGCCAGGGCAGGAAGCCCAGGAACGCCTCCTCTCCTGCCCAAGAGGCCCCGGGCAGATATCCTGAATGAGGAAGACTGGGGGAGGGGAGGAGGCTGTTGGGGACTCTGGCAAGAGTTGGCCCCACCAGTTCCACCTAGAGCCCAGGCCTGAGATCTTCCCTGGGGCCTGCTCCTCCCTCTCTGCCCTTCCATTTCCCTGAAAAGGGGGAGCTGGAGGTAGGTGGGTACAGCACCCAGAGTTCAACGAGAGGTAAACTTGTAAAGGGAGCTCTGCAACCCTCCACCCTGCGCTCTTCTCTCTTCCTCTGCAGTTTGGCAGCTTGGGTACAAATCTAGGAGGCCCAGAGGGGAGGCTTCCTCCCAGAGGGAGGGCCTGGACCCTAGAAAGCAGCCTGGCACTGTTTTCTAGGTAAGAGGCTGGAGGCCAAGGAAGAAGGGGGCTCAACCTCCTTCGAAGATGGCAGTGACTTCCCAGTGCCAGTCAGCAAGCACCCTGTCTGTGGGCCAGTGAGGCCAGTGTCACAGGATGTTTACTAATGTGTTTGATGTCACACAGTTAGGAAGTATCAGAGTCTGGTCTAGCCCCGGTCCCTGACACACTGCCTCTGTGTGTGTGTGTCAGTCCTGGAGGCTATTCCACATGCTCACACACAGATCTCTCCCATAGCTGCATGGTACTGCAACTCATACATGGACCATATTTCTCAAATTTCCTCTGGTGGCCATTTATTGAGTCTTGCTCTGTCGCCCAGGCTGGAGTGCAGGAGCACTCTGCACTCACTGCAACCTCTGCCTCCCGAGTAGATGGGACTACCAGCGCCCACCAACATGCCTGGCTGATTTTTGTATTTTAGTAGAGACAGGGCTTCACCATGTTGGCCAGGGTGGTCTCGAACTCCTGACCTCAAGTGATCCACCCGACTCGGCCTCCCAGAGTGCTGGTATTACAGGTGTGAGCCACCATGCCTGACCTTTCTTTTTCTTTTCTTTTTGGACAGGATCTCTATCTGCTTGGTCACCCAGGCTGGAGTGCAGTGGTGTAATCAGGGCTTACTGCAGCCTCAACCTACCAGGCTTGAGCAATCCTCAAACCTCAGCCTCTCTAGTCATTGAGGCTGTATATGTGCACCATCACACCTAGCTAATTTTTAGACTTTCTGTAGAGACGGGATCTCACTATGTTGCCTAGGCTGGTCTCCAACTCCTGGTCTCAAGTGATCCTCCCTATTCAGTCTCCTAAAGTGCTGGGATTACAGATGTGAACCACCGTGCTCAGCCAGCAAATGTTTTATTTAACAAACACATGTTGAGTGGTAAATACTCAACTATTCTTGATGCTTTATCATCAATAACTTATTTCATCCTTGGCAACCCCATTTTGCAGATGAATAAACTGAGGCACAGAAAGCTTAAGTAACTTGCCCGAGGTCACACAGGTGACAAGTGGGAGAGCTGAGATTTTAGCCTTCAAGGGTGAAGATATAAGCACATGTCTCAATGTCCCGTGTCCTTGCCGTTTGTCATGCGATGACACAGAGGGTAAATTCTTGGAGGTGGTCTTGCAGGTTAACAAGGTGCATTTAAATTCAGCTGTCACCAAGGGACCAGGAACTGGTCAGGGAATGTCCTGCTGCAACCCTGACCAAGGGAACGTGAGCCCCACTAACCACTGCCACTCCTACCCCCACCCCCATCCTTTGCCAATGAGGCAGCTGCAGCTGGTCTGAGCAGAGGCTGGAGCCTACACTGGGCTCTTTGTCTTCAGTGGGAACCCTGCAGCCCCCATGGCCCCTCTCAAGGGCCCACTGTCCCAGTACCAGCAGGGCCTCCCAGGGGCCAGGCCCGGCTGGGAAACTTGGCACGATGGCGGCCCCTTGGCCACTCTGCCAACTGGGCACACAGAACCACTCAGGAATCATTCCCACTGAAAAGAGTGGCGAGATGTAGGTCCATGTCTAAGGGGGTGCGGCCGCCCAGATGTGGCTGGAATCCAGGTCCCAGCCCAGGCCTAGCTCTTCAGTCCTCTACCCCACTGCCTCCCATCTCTGAGAGCCCCTGCTGCTGCTGCCTCCACTTAGAAAGGAAGAAGGGAGGGAGGAAGAAGGGAGGGAGGGAGGGAGGGAGGGAGGAAAGGAAGGAGGGAAGGAAGGAAGTCAGTCAGTCAGTAAGTCAGTTCCTCTCTTCTCAGGCAAATCTCGGTGCTCCCAGGACCCAGACTTCAGGAGCCCTCCCAGGCTGCTTCCCACACTGTCCTGGCGTGATTCTTCCCCCCCCCCCCAGGAATCTGCAGCCTTGGTCAGAGGAGAAGGGGCCCAGCCCAGGCTCCAGAGCACCTTGCAAGGGGGAGCCAGACCCTCCCCGGAGAGCTGAAACCCAAGGGACATAGTTCTGGGAGTGAGGAAATGTTTGCCCTGCCCAGGCTTTGAACCCTATGAGGGGCTCTTGATGACTCCTGCACCTCCCAGAATGTGCAGAGAAAAGGTCCTGGGTGGGAGCCGAGTGGGGGCTGAGGGCAGATTCCCAAGAGAGAAGTAATTGGTGTGAGCTAGAATCTCAATTTCTTCATGTCTGAAGTGGGGAAACTGCTAGTCACCTACCCTGCTTAGGTGAGACAAACTGTGGGGACTGACACCCAGACCTGTCGTTTCCCAGGGATGCTGGAGCTCCTTAAGCCCAGGCCCGGGTTCCAGGTGGAACAGCTCCCGAAAGCCTTCTGAAGAGCCTCTGCCGCCCTGTCCTTGTGCCCTTGGTCAGCCTTTCTCCCTCATCCCGGCTACATGTGCCTACAGTTTGCTTAAACAGAAAATCCCATAGAAAACCTCGAGACTGTGGGGGCCTCCTTGGGCGCAGGGCCTGGGGGAATGATCTCTCTTTCTATGGGGCGGGGCGGGGAGTGGGTGTTGGGATGGAGGGCAGTGTGCCCTGGGGGGTCGGGGCTAGTGACCTGGTGTCTGGGGGTACATCTCCACTTGGGTAGGGGAACAGCTTACTGTGAGGAAGAGCACTGGGCTATGAACTCTGGGCGAGCTGGGTGCAGAAGGGGGACTTGGAGTGTTAAGTGAATGAGAGAACCTGCTGCAGAACTCAGAGCTCAGTTCCCTCTGAAGGCTGGGACCTGGGCTGCAGGAGTTTCCAAGAGTCGGGGGTGGGGCATCTCCACCCCTCCCCTTTGCTCCCCCTCCTCATTAGGACAAAGGGTAGGGGGGCTCCTGGGAGAAAGGGAGACAGGTCGGCAAGGAGCGGCTATTGGAGACTGTTCTTCCTTCACTGGTTCGGTCGCGGGGAAGGGCTGAACGCCTGTTCCCGCTGCGGAATTCCTGTAGCCGGCATTTACTAAGCGTCCACTGTGCTCCAGGGCCTGGGCCCAGCGCTTTACGTGCGAGAATTCACTTCGTCACCCCTAGGTCCTAGGAGGCCGGCGGGAGGAATCCCACTTTACGGATGAGAAATTCGAGGGACAGGGAGGGGTGGGACATGCCCGCCGTGCAGACCCAGGCTTCCCAGGTCTCGGCCCGGCCGGGAGGGAGCTCCCAGCTTGTGATGCTGGGGACTGATCTGCCAAGGAGCGCAGCGGCTCGAGGGGGCGGGAGGAAGGCGTACCCCAGCAGAGGGTCTGCGGCCCGGACTGGGCGCGGCGGCGGCGGGGGAGGAATGGGGTGGGGGAGGGGCTGCCCCGGGCCCCGCACCCCGCGCCTGGCCAGGCCGGGCTCGGAAAGTCCCGCGAAGCCCCCGCCCGGCCGGCCCAGGGCTGCGCGAACAAGCGGCTCTTTCTGCGCCAGCGGCCCCCGGCAGCTGGACCGCCGCCCGCGGGGGCGCGGACGGACCCAAGCTGGGGCGGGGGCGGGGCGGCCGCGTTGCCAAGGTGACCCGGGCGCGGGAAGGCGGCTCCGGCTCGCGCGAGCCGGGCCGGGCGGCGGCGGCGGCACCATGAGCGGCCGGAAGCGCAGCTTCACCTTCGGGGCCTACGGCGGGTAGGGCGCGGGGCGGGGCGGGGCGCGTGCGCGCGTGTGCGTGTGCGCTCGTGGGGGGAGCCCGTGCGGGGCGTGCGCGCGCTCGCGCGGGTGGGTCTGAGCTGTGACTGCTGTGGGGGCTGAGCGTTTGACCTCAATGCGCGCATGGCTGTCGTGTTGCGGCGCCTGAGTGTGTGTGTGTGTTTCTCTGTCTGTGTGTGTTCCATTGCGAGTCCATGTGCGTGTGTGGGGAGGTGAGCGCGGGATGGACACTGCCGTGTTTGTCTAAGCACACGACAGTGGCGCTTATGGGTGTAACTGGGGCTGCGGGGTTTACTGGGCCTGTGTGTGCGCGTGCATGTGTGCGCGCCTGCTCACATGTGTAGGTATGCGGGAGTAGGGGCAGGCAGGTCGCGGAAGGCTCTGCTGGAGCTCCCACTTTGCCCCTGCAGCTGCCGGGCCCCTCCATGAGGCTCTGGATAAAGGGACTCTAGAAGCCCTTAGCAGGCCTTGCCCACCGTGGGCACCGGGCTGCCCTCCTTCCTGTGTCCTGGCTCTCGGGAACCCCCTCTTCCCTGGGCTACTGGTTGCCTGGGCTTGGAGGCTTGAAGGAGCTCAGAGTAGCAGCAGGTTCATCTTGGGGTCCAGGGGTGCAGAGGTGGGACGGGGATTTTTGCCTGTTGCAGAGATTTGGCAAATAGGAGGGAAGACGGGTTACACAGAGTGGGCCCAGAGCGTCTGCCCACCGAGACAAGTGGATCCATGACCTTCCCCAGGCTCTGCCTCCTAGCAGTCAGAGGGACCCACAGGACTCACCTTGGGGTGTGGAGCACTGCGGTTTGTTTGTGGGCGTAGTCAGTGCTCTCTGAGCTATGGGGATTGTGTACAAACTGCCTTCCCCTTGTGGACACTCAGCTTCTGAGGGGATCCCAGCAGGGGGTGGGGTAGGGTGAGAGGCCAGAGGCTATCCCTCTGTCTGGGGTCTTGCTAGATGTCAGGTGACAGGAGGAGCCTGGGCTGGGCCCTGAGTTTCCTGGCCAGCCAACACTGAGGGGCAGCTCACAGGCTGGGTCCTGTTCTGTGACCTTGGGCAAGTCCTGGCCTCTTTGGCCTCCCTGTCTGCAGAGTCAGCCTTCCCCATCAGCTGTCCCTGGGAGCCCCCAGCCCTGCCCTCTGGAGGATGCCCCTCACTAGCAGAGTCGGGCTGGGCTCCCTCCTCATTCCTTTCTTGCCTCTGGGCAGGTGAGTTGTTTGTTGTCCCAACAGCTGGACAACAAACTGCAGGGGCCCAACTGTCAGATTAGGGACATGGGAAGGGACAACAAACTCAGCCCCTGCCCCCAGCAGCACCAAGGTGCCCTCAGAGGGCAGTGGGAGAATCGGAGGTAGGGAGCTACCCACACATGCTCCCTGGGGCTGGATCTAGGAGGGTTTGGGGGAAACAAAGTCTGGGGTACCCCTGAAGGTTTTAGGGAGCAGGGTATGTGTGCTGGGGTGAAGGTGGGGGGAAGCTCCACTTAGATCTCCTCCCAGATTCACAGATATTTGCTTCCTGGGTATCCACCAGGATGTGAGTGAATAGTTTCAGGATTGAGACAGGCTACAGGCCTTGGGCTGATGTTCTTTCTGCCCACCATAAACCATAAACATCCAGCAAACTGTTCGATCCTGCCTGGAAAGGCTCTAAGCTAGCCCTAACCGTACCCCTACATCCTTGCCATGATCCAAACTGCTGTAGTCACTGTCCTACTCCACCTGTCCCCCCACCCCTGCTAACACCCCACAGCCTGCCCCCTACCCACTGCCCCCAGTCCTGCCTCTTTTCCCGGCACTTTAACCCCCATGCCTTCCCAGGTCCCTAATCTGACAGTTGGGCCCCTGCAGCCTAAGGGTGACAGTGACTGCATCAGGCATCCTTAGAAACAGGACCTTTTCCAGCTCCTCTGGGAAGGTGGCACAGTGCAGGTGGGGCTGATGTGCTGGGCCCACCTGGCGAGTAGGGATGTCCCCTCACCTGTGGTCCCTCTTGCTGTGTTTCAGGGTGGACAAGTCCTTCACCCCTCGCCGGAGTGTGTGGTGAGTACTGGGGACTCTCAGGAGGGCCTGGGCTGCCTTGGCTTGTCCCTGCAGATACCCCTAATACATTCCCACCCCCGCAATGCCAGATCTCGCCAACCCTCCAACCATCCTCTCAGGGCAAGGGGGTGGACAGACCCTCTTGCCAGGTCTGTCCCCAGAGTACTTTCTAGAGAGCTTTGGAGGCAAGCAAATCAGGTTTGCATCATCACTCTGCCACTGCCTGTGTGACCTTCAGCAATTCCTTAACCTCTGTGAACCTTAGTTTTCTCATCTGTGAGATGGGGATTAAAATGCCCATTTAAAGGCTGTAAAGTGAAAAGAACAAAAGCAAAAACTGGACCTGACATATTGCAGGCCTTTGCTAAAATGCTTTATTCCTTTTGCTCTTCTCTATTTCTTCCCACCTCGGGGTGGTCCCTCACTGGGCTAGGGGTGCTCTTAGCCTTTACCGACCCCAAATCCTCTAGTTACCCTCTCCCCACAGCCCTCAGAACCCCCACCTCCTATATTTCCTGTGTCTGGGGCTGGGCTGCCCTCTCTTTGGAGGAGGAGGGAATGAGGCAGCTGTATCTGCAGCTTCCCAACACCAAGAGGCAATGGGTAGAGGTGCAGCCTCACCTCGGGATACACTGTGGCACCCCGATGCCCCAGGAGGTGGGTCCCTCCCAGCTTCCCTGACATCAGCATCACATGGGCCTGGATAGCCTCTCCTGCTCCTGCTTCACCTCCAGCAGGAAGCCCCCCGATGGCTCTGGCAGCTGCTTCCTGCCCCTGCTCAGGGCTTCCTGGGGTCCGTGGGTCCTGCAGTACCCCCCAGCTGCTGGGCGACTTCTATCTGGTACCATTGCCCCCGCAGGGCCCTCCTGGGAAGCCAGGCCTGGGGTCGGAGGTACACAGGGTGCCCCAGCTGAGCTTCCAGCCTACCTTTCTATTTGCCTTTGATGCCCTCTATGCAACCTCAGGCCGCTTCCTCTCCCTTTCTGGGCATCATCTCCTGCTGCTGTGCCTGGTCCATTTGAGCCCTCCTTCTGCAAGATGGTGTGCTATGCTAAGAGCAGGGGCAGACTGAAGGGGGATACAGGCAGAGGTAAGGAAGGTGCCATCCTTTCCTCCAGGGAGTTTAGTAATAACACCGCTGACAACTGCCACTTGTCGGGCACCTGCAGTGCACTGGGTACTGCACTAGGTGCCTGGCATGTGTTATCTCATGTAACATTGACCACACCTCAGAGTTAGGGACTATTATCTCTTAATTACAGAGGAGAACAATGGAGCCTGGAGTGGGGAAATGAGTTGCCCAAGGTCACACAAGCAGTTGGGATTCAAACCTTGGTCTTCCAGACTCTGTGCAGAGCCCAGAGCCTCACCTACTCTGTTCCAGGGCCACCAGGCCACAAGTAGGGTCTGAACCAAGGATGCACTTGAGGGAAGACTCAGAGGGCCACCCAGAAGGCCCGCCCTAGGGAGCCCTACACCAAAGAGACAAAGGCCCAGGACTGATTGTATCTGGCCAGCTGTGTGACTTTGGGCGCGTCCCATCCCCGCTCTGGGCCTCAGTTGACCCATCTGTCAAGTAAATGTCGGCCATTCCCCCAGGACACGCCCCATTACCCACAATGCCTTGCCCGTGCCCTCCTAGCTGGGGCCGCTGTCCAAGGTGCTAACCCCTAGGTCCCACCTTCCCAGCCGCCAAAGCCCGTCGCTTAACGCCATCCCCTGCTTGGCATATGGTTAGCGCTCAGTCGGCGGTGGCCATTTTGTTTTTTGTTTTGTTTTGTTTTGTTTTTGTTTTTTGTTTTGTTTTGTTTTGTTTTGTTTTGTTTGAGACGGAGTTTCGCTCTTGTTGCCCAGGCTGGAGTGCAATGGCGCGATCTCGGCTCACCGCAACCTCCGCCTCCTGGGTTCAGGCAATTCTCCTGCCTCAGCCTCCTGAGTAGCTGGGATTACAGGCACGTGCCACCATGCCCAGCTAATTTTTTTGTATTTTTAGTAGAGACGGGGTTTCACCATGTTGACTAGGATGGTCTCGATCTCTCGACCTCGTGATCCACCCGCCTCGGCCTCCCAAAGTGCTGGGATTACAGGCGTGAGCCACCGCGCCCGGCCTGGCGGTGGCCATTTTGATCATTAATCATGATCTCCTGGCACTCAAGTCCTGTCTCCACCTCCCTTTCTAGCTTGGGGATCGCTTCTCCCGTGCCCTGCATTTCTGATCAAGGGGAACATGGCCCCAGTCAGCTTCACCTCCCCTTGACGTCCCTCTACTTCCATTTCCACAGGCCCTCGCCACACCTCCAGCCCACCTTTGTCACTATTTGTTGGGTGTTTTGTTTCTTGATCCCCACATCCCCGTTCTCTCTTTAAAACGCCTTCTCTGCTGCTATAGAGCACACGTTCGTGAGTGTTCCTGGGGTAGGGGAAAGAGCATGGACTTCAGAGTCTGACAGGTGTGGACTTGAATCTGCCTCTACCACATTCTCGTTGTGTGACTCTGGCAGGTCGGTTTCCCTCTCTGGGCCGCACTTGGTGCTCAATATGTGCTTGTGGAATAGGGCGTTTCAGGGAGCTGACTTCAGCTGAGCTGCATATGTTGACATAACCCTGCAGTGCAGAGCAGGCTCTGAACTCCTTCAAAGCAGAGGTGCTTGAGTCCGTTTTTGTTTTTTTGGAGACAGGGTCTCACCCTGTCGTCCAGGCTGGAGTGTAGTGACGTAATCTTGGCTCACTGCAACCTCCACGTCCTGGGTTCAAGTGATTCTCTTCCCTCAGCCTCCTGAGTAGCTGGGACCACAAGTGTGTGGTCCCATCACTCCTGGATAATTATTTTTGTATTTTTAGTAGAGACAAGGTGTCACCATGTTGACCAGTCTGATCTCAAACTCCTGAGCTCAAGTGATCTGCCCACCTTGGCCTCCCATTGAGTCACATTTGAGTTCAACTTAGCCCCAGTTTCTCCTGTAAAGGCCAGGCTGTGCTTTTCTTCTGTCTCTATCCTCCAAGTGGTCTTGTGCAACTACCATGCCCATAAATGCTTAATGCTTGTGGAATTGAATTGAATGTGTTCAGTGAGGGGAATGAGTAAAACCTTGTCAGTAGGCTGGGAAGGCTTCCTGGAGGAGGTGATTTTTATCACCCCTTTACAAAACAGGATTAAGAGGTTAGGGCTTGAATTAAGGGAGCAGTGAGTCCTGGTAGAGGCCAGATGTGATCATGGCTGAGTTCCCTTAGGAATCTCCAGCCCACTCAGTAGGTTGTCTGCAGTGGAGGAGCTCAGTAGGTGTGCAAATGCAAGAGGAAGGAGGCTCAGTGTGAGGGTTGGGAGGCACTGTTGGGGACAGTGGGTGACTCTGGTTTTGCATCACTAAGGGACCCAGATGTCCTAGAATGGGGGCTGGACATTTAAGGTGTATTCTAATGGAGGGTGGGAGATGGAGTGGTGTCAGGGTAGAGGAATGGCTAAGTGGACTTGCACAAGGCAGGAGCGTTCTGAAAACACCTCTGGGAAGAGGAGAGTCAACTTTGGCCTTAAAACTGGGAGCCTGGGAGGTGGAGGCAGAACCAGCAAGGATTAAGAGCTGACAGTGTACCAGGCATTATACCCTGGAGGTCTCACTAAATCATGGCATCGGTCCTGCAGTTGGGCCTGTAGTTCCCAGTTTAGAGGCTAAAACCAAGACTGAGAGTGGTGGAGGCTCTGGCTTAGTCACAGCTTGTGAGAGTTGGATTCGAATCTCACTCTTTCTTCTGCCGAGGAAGGGATTTTGGTCAGAGGTGGTGAAGCTGCAGAAATGGGGACGGTCTTGGTTATGGGGCGAGGGAGGAGGGAGGAGTGAAGGAGCCCTGAATGCCAGCCAAATGGGAGTCCCTGCTCAGCTCCATGTGTCCTGCTGGGAAGCCCCATCTGGGTGCTGAGATGTTTCCTCCTCACGAAATTGGTGCCAGTCGCTCCCATAAATGGAGCACTTCCTATATCCCAGGCCCTGGGCCAAGCACTTGCCTGAATCATTTCATTCCATCCTGACACCAGCCTTACAGAAGGCTGTCCGTTCCTACTGTCCATCCCCATTTTACAGATGAAGAAACTGAGGCTCAGAGAGAGGAAGTGGTGGCCTAGGGGCGTGCAGTCAGTGAGAGGTTGACCAAGACTGACAGTGATGCCACTCTGAGCCCATGCCTTTAGCCCTTGCTCTCCTGAGTGCTGCTCGTGCTGAGTGGTGGGCTGGGGTAGGTGGCCTTGTCCTCAGGTGGCTCCCTGTGGTGATCACTGAGCCAGAGGCCCCAGGGCCTGCGTGCTGCTGCAGGAAGCACGAGGATGGCCTCATTAGTGGCTCTGAAATGCCAAGCAGGCACGGCCCGCTGGGCCTCCTCATCTATTATGCATCTGGTGGGCAGGCCCCCAGTGGGCAGCTGGCAGTGCATGGGATGGGGGAGCTAGCAGCTGCTTCCTGAGCCCATGGTCATGACTATACCTCTGGGCAGGGATCTCCAAAGGCAAATGCCAAGGCAGCTCCTGCCTCATCCCCTTGGCCCAGCCAGGGTGAGGGGGTTCTACTGGGGGCGGGGGCATGGATGCTGGTCCCCAGCTCATAGTGTGGCTATCCTAGCAGCCACTTCTCTTTATTTTATTTTTATTTTTATTTTTATTTTTTGAGACAGTCTCACTTTGTCACCTAGGCTGGAGTGCAGTGAGGCAATCTCAGCTCACTGCAGCCTCAACCTCCTGGGCTCTAGCAGTCCACCTGTCTCAGCCTCCTAAAGTGCTAGGATTACAGGTGTGAGGCACTGTGCCCAGTCCCTAGCAGCCACTTCCTAGAGAGGCTGAGACTTCAATTGAGCTGGGGGTCATTTGGGACCGGAGTGGGCAGAGGTGGGCTGAAATAGAGTCTCAGATGCACAAGCTCCTGGCTGCACAGAACCTCAGAGTAATAATGCTGCGGCCATTTGTTCATCATTTATTCATCCAGCCACAAGCAACCACTGAACACCTACTGTAGGCC